CACAACACAATATAACCTATCTTGTGTAAATGGATGGCAGAACAGAGAGCAGTACTAAAAATAAGAACTAGATAAGATATCTCTAGATATGGGCAGTGGGACCTGAACAGTCTACCCCTATATACATTGACATACACCTGATGAAGGTCGTAGAGACAATGGCTGAAATGTTGTGATAACAGCGACAACAAAGTGTGAGGGGTAGTAAAAAGACAAACCTTACTAAGAGCTACAAAGGATAAGAAGTTGTAGAGGGCAGTGATTGCTCATAGAAACAAAAGAATTCTTGATTCTGCTTGGTATCTTTGAGCAGTAATAATTGTTTGAAATGAACAAGAAAAGTGGACACAATGAATCATATTATAAGAATACTTTTGTTTGTTTTTGCAAAAGTTAGAAATAAACAATGGCAGATGAAATCTTTGTTCTATACATTCTTGCAGACATAACAAAAAAAAAGTTACCACCCACAGTTATATAGCAGAACAATACTATAAGAAATTCATATCCGTATTTCTTATTTAAATAAAATTGTTTAAAACAAAAGTAAATTTTTTATTTATTTTTTTTTATATATAAAATGGCTATGTTATTCCTTTGAACAATCACTGATACATTTTGTATTTTATTAGTAGTTATTGTATTGTCATATCATTTACTGTATATACTAATTTGCAAATACTACAGGGTGGTCCGAAAGTCGTGTCACCCCTACATAATATAATTTTCTATTTCACTGCTCTGTGTGGTGTTATCAAGGACAGAATTTCACATTAATGATACCAGAATAGCCATCAGTTGAAGGACACTGTTCAGAGAGCCTCTGCAACAATCAATAAAGCACAGCTTCATAAAATAATGCACAGGACATGGCACTGCATCATTTTGTGCCATGAAAATGATGGTTTTATAGACCTTCTCGATGTGTGACAGTGTCAATGAAGGTGAATGAACTGAATCCAGTACATGTGCTTTATATTACTGTATTACTTGTTCTATTGTTCTCATTACTTTTTGGTAGGGGTGACAAGATTTTCGGACCACCGTATATTGATTATATTAGTCGATAACCTTTATTCAAATTATTTGCATTCAGGCTAATATCCTTATCTTTGTTTTTATTTCTGTCTGAATTTCTGGGATAAGGAGTTATCATTATTTACATTACTAGTGTCAACATCTTTGTTGATGTTATCACAACATGCCATTGTTTATTTCTTTTGCAAAAAAAAAAAAAAGACAAAATTCATTTTAACTTTTCTTTTTCATTTCAAACAATTATTACCCCTCAAAGATGTCAGGTAGAATCAAGAATTCTTTTGTTTCTATGATTGATCACTGCCCTCCACAACTTCCTATCCTTTGTCTGTCTTAGTAAGGTTTATCTTACATTTTGTTGTTGCTGTTATGACAACAATTTGGCCATTGTGCCCTATGGCCTTCATCAGGTGTATGTCAATCAGGGAAATCCAAACTAAACCATTTATTTAGTCTATGTGGGTAGACTGTTCTTATTCCACTGTCCATGTCTAGGGATATCTCATCTAGTTTTTATTTTCAGGCTGTCAGGGTTGACATGCTGTTAAACAAAATCTAACCAACCAACCAATCTTATTTTTAGTACTGCTTAGTTTTTGCTCATCCTGTTTCCACTGAGACTGAGTACACACTGCCCAGCGCAGAGATTTAACTCACTATTTAACTATGTCATGTTAATTCACTCATCTATTGTCCCATAGGGTAGTTCTCTGTGGAGAACTTGGAGTCTTAAACCTAATCTGCCTGCTGATGAGTGTTGCTACTGCTTGTCATGCTTGACTGCACTGACTGCAGCTTTTACTCTTTTGTTTTTATTATCACAATGTTTTGATTGTTGAGTCTTTTGACCACCTTCAAGTGTCTGTCTATTTGAATTGAGCTTTTTTCTTAATCTATGAACCGCCTGTTCTTTTTCTTCTTTCCATGTCTATAAACATTTTGTTGTCTTTTATTTATATTTTATTTCACACTGCTCAGTTATTGTTCATTCTGCTTCTACTGAGTTTGAATCTCTACTACTTAGGCCAGTGATTCATGAAATTGGTGGCATAATAAGCCAGGTATGAATAGCTCAAGATTAGATTATCAATTTCTGTCTGAATTTCTAGGGTAAGAAGTCATAATCATTTACATGATTTACAATCTGACTAATGTTCTCATCTTTTTTGTTAGTATTACGTATCATCCATTGTACTCTCCAGTCATTGTCAGATGTCTGTTGATCAGGTTGACCATCAGAAAATTTTGAATTGAACCCTTCCATGGGGATTGCTAATCCCGTTTCCACTAAGTTTAAATCTGCACTACTCGAACCAGGGATTACATTACTCACAATTATTATGCCACTGAATTCATGAATCCCTGCTTACATTAAATAAAGGGATTAGTTCAAAATTCCTTGAAGTTTAATAGAAAATGTTTTTATGACAACAAAGAAAAAAGAATTAGGACATTAGTCCAAATCTAAATAATGATAACTCCTTATCATGGAAATTCAGATGGAAATTGAAACCATTTATTGAAAATATTATCCTTTTATTCACTGATATGCACAATAATACGCATTGAAACTTTCCCTACTTTTGTTGATAGATAGAATCCCTGTAGCTGTGGTTATTCTGGTTATATCTCTTCATTTTCTATTTACCTCCCCTTGTTGATACATAGTTACCTCCCTTTGCATTGTTTTGAAATATATAAAGACAGTTATGTGTTTTCTTATTCCTTATTGGCAGCATTAAGATCCTACCTTTGACGTGGTAGCAGGAGAGACCTAGTTGTGTCTAAATAAGATTGTTTAGTGTCATACACATTGACACTGTTGAAATATATCTTAAGATGGTGTCAGCTTTCAATATACTCTCCACATGTTAGTGAACATCAAACCTTATAATGAATGCAAAATTAGTTTCAATATGTCACGATTATTTACAGATTTTAAGAGAAAAAGATCCTTACTTCACCTTATTTTGAATGGTTAGGCTTGACATTGGGTTGAAGACATCAAATTAAAGAGCATTGCTCATAAAGTCAGTTATGTGTCATGCATGATACACACTTAGGTGATTATGTATCTTTCAATACATGACTGACGAGGCAGATTTTTTTTCCCACAATAGGTTGCCATTTCTTTCTGCAGTAGGCCAGTTGCCATACAAGGCTATAGAACTTGATCTGTCCTGCTATTTAATTTACCCATAGGTGGGGAGAGAAGAAGAGGCTTCATACCTTTCCCAAGGGTATTAGCACGTAAGTGAATGTAATGGATTTGACTGGAATTCGAACTTGGCTCTTCAATTCCTCAATCTGAGCTGCTATCCATTACTTTACCATCCTTCCCCTTGTCCATAAAAGTCGTGTTAAAAAAAAATTCTGCAAAATCTCATCATTGCTTGCATGTTCAATCCATGGTACAACTTGCTCATAAAAGTTGTGTTAAAATTGTTATTGATAAACTTGATCCTCTGTTTGTAAAATATGAAAATATATGTTTGTTTAACCTTTGAAGACTTTTATATAACCTACAAGAAGACATAATGCATGGTTATCAGCAAAAGGATGAGCCCAAAGTGTAAATTACAAATTGGGGATACTAAAATCAAACAAGTACAAAAATTTAAATGTCTGGGAAATATTCTAACAGAAGATGGAATGTGCAATACTGAGATCTGAAGATGTATTGGATGGCCAAAGATGCATTCCAAAAGCTAAGCAGAGTATTAAGAGACAGAAAAATTTTGTTAGAAACAAAGAAAAAAGTATTAAACTGTTATGTGGTATGTCTCCTCTTGTATGGCAGCGAGTGTCGGGCAATCTTCTCAAAGAGGAAGAAGAGACTTGAAGAAACAGAAATGTTCTATAGAAAGTTGCTGAAGATACCATGGACCAAACTTGTGAGCAATAATGAGGTTTTGGAGAAAATGGAAGCAAAAATGAAATTTATATTTAACATCAAAAAAAGGAGTTGAAATTTCTGGGGCGTATAATGATGAAGTGGAGGCTTGGAAAATCTGATACTCACAGGACAAATTGAGGGACAGAGGAAATAAGTGTGTAACATGCTTGATGAGCCTGAGTAAATGAATGGTAGAAAGTGGAAATAACAAAAAGACAAAACTTAAGTGCTACAAGTGACAGAAACCCCCGTCAATATTGGAAAGAGCAATAATACTTACTGGACTTGAGAAACCTACAGAAAATTAATTATTGTTGAATTATTATAAGGGGTGATAAAAAATGACACAACAATCTGAATGAATAAGGAAAGATAACTTCCAAAAAAGTAAACAAAGTTCATTAGAAACAAAGAAAAATATGTAATATCTGTCCTTTTAAATGTCACTGAATGCTGGACAGTTGCCTTGGAGATGAAAAGGTGACTTAAGGCATGCTTCTGTCAAACCGCATTTCCATTGAAATGTGGTTTGACAGAAGCATGCACCGAGCATGGTTAGAGCATGTGAATAATGAGGAAGTTTGAAGGAAAATGAAAAACAAAATTTACACTTGTAGTTAGAATCAAAAAGATCCAATTGAAATTTCTAAGACACTTAATGAAGAAAGAGGGCATGGAGAATTTGACACTCACATGGCATATTAAAAGAGAGAAACATTGAGTACATACCTAGCAAGCTTATTGTAAATGGATGGCAGAATAGAAACTGAGGCGTCGTAAGGAATCATATTTCTTACATGACTGATTGCTTGATTCATTTTCTAGAAAATATTTTTAGTTTTATTTATTTTAATTTTTTATTTTCTAAGAATTTTTTTTAATGAGATAATAATGGTTTAGTGATACAAGTCTTACTAATTAACCCATAGTTAGGAGGAGAAGAGGTGGATTCACACATCTCCCAAAGTTATTTGTTCATAAGTGAATATAATAGACCTAATTGGAACTTGGCTCTCTGATTAACAATTCTGAACCTTTATCCATTACACCACCCACCCATCCATGTTTACGGCACCTGGTTTTCCCAAGCTGTCACCCATCTCAGCACTGACCAGAATCAATGTTGCTTAACTTTGGTGATTGTACAGGAACCAGTGTTTGAGCATCATGTGGCCATAAGCCAACATTGTTTAAAGCTAAAAATTGTAGGAAGTTGTGGAAAGTCATAATTGCACATGTTTTGAAAGGACATGGCTTGCAAAAGAGGAACTGATAAAGGAAACTCTTTAGTTGAATATTTTTCATCTAAAACAAAATTTTAGTAGATACTGTGAAAATTATTGTCAGTGGGGAAGTAAAATTTTCAGCTGTTAATTTCAGGCAAAACAGTTTATGTTTGTCATGTATAGTAAATGATATTTGCTCCATTTCTTTTGTGAAAGATCTTTATGAAGGAAGTTGATGTTCTTTTAAATTTTGTAGATGATACAGCATATGTGTTCTGGTTGATGCAATGGATTTAGTTTGTACTCCATCATGTTATTACCATCTTCTTCTCAGAAACTTTATTTAATAACCACTGTGATTTAAGAGACTCTGTGGTGTGACACGCATCTGCTATAAAATCTTTAACACAAGAATAAGAAAGAAAAACACAATGAAGTTACAATTTCTTATGTATCAAAAGAAAAGTTATGCATACTTGTTAAGGAAAGTAAAGATTTTTGTGATAATGGATTTCTGAAGAGAGTTGTGGCTCTTGCAGTGTGTGCATGAAGAATAAACGCCCACTTTTCTGTCCATTTGTGGATATACCTTTAACTGATAAATTTAATCAAGTTGTATGTATAGATTTAAAAGATTATGTGCATAATGAATCTTGAATTTTGCACATGGTTGACCCAGCTATGGCATAATCTGCAGTCTGTTTGATTTTTACTAAGCGTCAAGTTGAATAAACTGTGGGGATACAAAATTTTATTAATGCTTTGAAAAAACAGTCCTTATAAAAGTATGCATAAATACATACACAAACAAAAGATAGATGAGAAATGATAAAAATAAAATTATCACCATAAAAGTGGTGGATGGGAAAAAATATGAAAAGAAAGAAATAACAAAAAAGGGCTCACTAGTTATTGATCTTTGCTCATCAGCATCAATCAAGGACAAAAAATATGTGCACAATAACTAAAAAAAATGGAAAAGAGGAGAGAAAAAAATATCAGGAAAACAGAAGTATAAATTACAGACAGATTGTTTTAGACCTAGTAGCCATCCCTAAATCTTACAAAGGGAAGGCTGCTTTGACTTGATATAAATGGTCTCAAGAATTCTTAAAGGGTAATTTGAATGAGTTTTGCTGATTATTGTGAAAGAAATCCCTGGGGAAGGTTGAGGCACACATTGGATTATTTATTAAGTGTTCTTCAATAACAGAACCAGAAGTATTCAAAAGTCTCCGTAAATTTTCACACTGCCCTTGATGGATGTTATCTGATTGTTTCTTCCAATATATTCAGCATCACACTGACATTTGTAATTGTTGATAACTGAATAACATGATGGTGGGGTTGGAGTAAAGAACATGATTCCAACATAAGTTGGGAAGTTTGTTTTATATCTTTTTGTATATTTATTATATGCTTTTAAAATATCTGTTTTTAAAGTGTCAATTTGAAACTGTGCAAACAACTGAATAGCAATTTTTTAGTGCTCCTCAGAGGTGCTTAAATCATAATAGAAAAGAATATTCTAATTATAAATACAGGAATAGGAATATAATATTGTATGTAAAACTTCAATAATAGCAGGTGAATTGCCATTGTTGTTGAATGAAATAATCAGTTCTTAGAAGAGACATTCTACAAGATGGTATTAGATGTTGGATTTGTGTGGGTAGTAAATGTTAAGAATTTGTTATAAAATGGTGGTGGTTTTAGTTCAACACAATTAGTATTTAATTTTGACCCTCATTTTCCTTCAGTTTTAGAACTTTCAGCCATGTTTCATCTTTTGATATTATGTTAGAATATGAATGCTTTACATAGTGGCAGACAAAATTATATTGTTGTATGGTTGTTTTTTTTATATCAACATTCACCCAATACAAGGTTCAGATGCCACACATATTAGGGGGTTACTGAATGTGGTGTGTGTTATGAATTTAAGTTGAAACAGAAAGAAGCAAAGATGAGATAAAGATTATAGATAGTGATTGACCCTTGGCTTGAAAAGGTTAAGATTATAGTGTTCAGGGAAGCATTCACATGGGAGTTTGTCTTACAAATTAGTAGTTCTCAGGAAAAAAAAAAAACAAAAAAAACTGAGTGAACTTCTTTCTAACAAATGGAATATGGCAGAGTAGAACTTATTTACATTATTCGGACTATTGTCCTCACCTTTGTTGCCATATTTATCACAACCTTTCAGCTGTTGCACACTCCAGCCTTCTTCAGGTTGTTGGAATGTCAAACTGAACCCTTTATTTTGCTCACTGGGGTAGACTGTTCTAGTTCCACGTGCCATGTATAATAAATGTCACTTATCAGTTATCACTTGTTAATTTCCCTCCACCGCCTTAACCAGGTATAGAACTCACACTCTTTGGGCCCTGTCACTGGATCTAACTAACGCCTTTATCCACTGTGCTGTGTGTGAGTGAAATAAAGGGTTCAGTTCAATATTCCAACCACCTGAAGAAGGCTGGAGCATACAAACGCTGAAACATTGTGATAAATATGCCAACAAAGATGAGGGCAATAGTCTGAATAATGTAAATAGTGTACATAATACCTCATCTCAGAAATATAGACAGATAAAACTTGTTTCTAACAAATTTGTTTGTGTCCATTCTTTTCATAGTTTCTTTGGATGTTTATTTCTTAGTGGAATTTGTTTTCATTATTTAAAATTACAAAAGAACTGCAAATCTTGTCATAAATTTTAAAAAGGCACCCAGAAAATTTCAGAGATATATTCTGACATTGCTTTTGAAATATATGAGCGAGAGATGATGAATTGTCAGGTTTCCAGAAATTTTAGGAAATTGCAAGTCAAACTGAACAGTGACCCTCAAGTGAAATTCAAGTTCACAAAGTACCAGTTGGCAACTTCCCAATTTTCATCAGTTGATGGCTTTCTTGTGTAATTGAATCATTTTCTGATTGGTACTGCGGAAACTTGAAACACTGACTCCTCCTCTATATCATTAATGCTTGTGTAACACTGTGTGACCATACCTTCAGCAAGTGACATTAGTCCTAATGTGTTTGCTTTGTTACACACTTTTTTGTGTATAAATTGGTATACACCATTTATTGCTATATAAACAGATGATGTTTCACAGAAAATTTATTTGAAATTTGATGAAGTATTAAAAAAAAGATTGTTTTATCTTAAACTCATGAGGAATTTCTCAAAAGTTCTTAGCCCAACCACCTTCCCAAATCAATATTTTATTGTTTTTTTTTTCTTTACTAAATTTCACTCAATATAATGTTTAAGAGCCACTCAGAGTAGAGGGTTACAATCAAAATGGTGAGGATGAATGAAGTGTAAGATATAAATGGAAGGGAAGATAGTAGAAAGTGAAGATTATGAAGATAAAGAGGGTAGACTGCAATTGACCTTTGACTTGAAGAGGTCAAAATTAAAGTGTTCAGGGAAGCACACATGTGGAAGTTGATTTCACAAACTTTCTTGTTATATTTGGAATATGGAAGGAATGAAACTGTTTTGACTTGGTATTTACCCAAGTCCTCCCATGAGGCAGGATGTAGCACAAGGCCAATTTTTTTTAGGTGGCGTGTTCTGAGCCCGTAGGCTTGGGCAAAAATTCCCTGTAGACTCTATAATTATGGGGTCAAGTTTGTTTACCTCCCCAGATGAGACTCTGCCCTTGGGCACAGCCTCATCTAGATTCCTCCCTGCCCAGAAGCATAGAGTTTGACAAGCTGAGTATTATCAAACCCAGAGGTTTGGCTGACTCTGAAACTGTTTTGATTCCATGGAAGTAACATGGTGCATCCTAGAAATAAAGGTCTGAAGTGGTGGAACAAAAGAAGTGAGTTCCTCTAAACACTTGGTATCAGAAATAGTGACCATCATGACAGGATTGTAATGTTGTCTGTATGGGAAAGAGTTTGTTGGGTGGAAATGTTGGTTAGACTGACAACATGTCAGCAGTCCCTCATATGTTTAAAACTCAATAACAGTAATTTTAGTGTGGCTAAACCTTTAAAAAATAAAGAAGAAAGATTTTATTTTGTTAAACACTTATTGCGAAAATACATATTTCTACTTCTTAATTTTTCCATTTGTGATTATGGAATAAATAAAATTATTATATAAATTTATACGTATAAATAGATAATGTTATCATAATGCCATCTTATAGCTGTGAAGAATACATAATCATCAAATCATATATTAATTATCAATGTGTATTTATTCATATATTCCTGCCCAATCTGTTGTAGGAAGGGAAGTAAATCGACTTAAGTTATTAAATTTATAAGTGATTACTTCCCTTAGTTGTTTTAATAATCTATAAAATATTAATGTGCATTTAGACAGAGTTTGTGAGCAAGGGAACTACTTAATTAATCAGTTCCTTTACTCCTGTGTTTCTTAGATTGCAGTCTTATTTGTTCAATCTTTTCATGTGAGGCACTCAGATGCCTTTGTCTATGAAGTGATCATATTGCTTCAACTTAGTCTTGAAATAGGCTTTGCCGTCACCGTCTTTGCCTTTCTGTTGCTAATCTTTTTCTTCTGAGAGATATTTCCATTTCACTGTTTTACTAAACACATAAAATTTTTAACATAAAAAGATACTGTGCAAAAGGTGATTTATATAATACCAGAAGTAATGAATGAATCAGAGATACCATTGAACATCTAAAAAAAAAAATTAGCTTCTATTTTAGTTGTGAATTCTTTATCTCTGCTTCATTGAATCTCAATATATTGTTTCAAAACTTTTCTTTCGTTGCATCTCAATATTAAAACTTTCTAACAATTTCAATTGTTTTTGATGGCACGGATACATTAGTATATCATGATAACCAGTAAATACCAGAGGTCTGAATCAAATATAATATCCATCATTTTCCTTTGATCTTAGAGGAGTTGATCTGTGGTGTCCCCAATATATATTGGTTTTGCCATATA